ATTAGTTATGAATCAGTTGAGTCTGAATTAGTGAAAAGGGAGATTGTCCTGGATGGGTCTGACCTAGTCAGGTGAGGTCTTTCCAAGAAGATGAACGCCCAGGGAGAGGCACCCTTGTTCATCTGGAGGAAAGCAAACAGCCAGGTCATGAACTTCCTACTGGGGGGCACATAGCCAGGAGCTGCGGGCAACCTCTAGTTGCGGAGAGCAGTCCTTGACACACAGGCAACAAACAAATAGGAGCTTCGGTCCTGGAACTGCGAGGAGCTGGGTTTTGCCAGCATTCAGGGAGCTTGCAAGAGGATCCTGAGCCTCAGATCCTGAGCCTTCAAAATCACAAATCCTGAAACCCTAATTCCAGCTTGCTGAGGTTCTGAGCAGAGGGCTCAGCCAACCCACCACGTTGGATTCCTGACCCATGGAAACCAGGAGATAATGCATTCGTGTTGCTTAAGGTCCTATACTCATGTTAATTTGTTTCACAGCAATAGAAAACTAATACAGGTTGTAATTAGTTTTCGGTGAGGGTTTATCCAGCACTGGTCAGGGATGAGAAACACTAGTTCATTAAGATGTGTGGTCTTGTTACAAAATGAGAAGCTTCAGGCCCATTCAGTTCTTACGCTGTGTCTATAATTGTAAGGCAGCCTTTGTGAATTCAGTTTCCTGGGCCCCCGAAACAGTGGCTGGGACGGAGTGCAGGAGACTGCTAGACTTCAACCTACTGAAGGCAGAGGAGGAAGTTGGGTGGGAATAATCAATGTAACCCTCTGGATGTTTGTCACATCAAAATTCATAGCCAGGAATCAAATTTATAAGCTTTCGTGGGCCTCTTGAAGGCTTGGTCGACACTGTATATAATTAACTGATTAAAAAAATCACATTGGCTTAACACGACGGGAGGGTATTTCGACCACACTCCTGAAGTCAAATGCCAGTATCCTAGACAGCAGGCCGCCTTCTGCTTGGACTTTCAGAAGCCAGACTCCCCCCATCCTGTGACTTTGCTCTTCTCCAGGCCTCGCAGTCCACTGCATTCAGCCAGGGTGAGGAATAGGACTGAGGTTTCTATGGGCCACAGCCTGAAGTGCTGTATGTCACATCCACACATGTTCAACTGGCCCAGACTCACTGAGAAGCTGGGAAATGTGGTCTCTGGCTGGGCAGGAACTTCCTAGCAACCTTCTATATGGTCGGAGGGGAGTGGTCAGATAGCTGGGTCTCCCAAAGGGAATTTTGAAATTCACAGTGGGGATTCCCAACTTGCAGAATTAAGCATCCTAAACAAGAAGAAATGACTTCTACTCCTAATTGAGGGGTGCATATTCCTAACTCCTAATTGGGAGCCTAACTCCTAATTGGGGGTGCATATTCTGGTTTGGAAGAGAAAAGAACTATGGGAAAACAGACTGAGGGTCCTAAGTTCCGTCCTCAGCTTAAGTCAGAAGGGGAAAAATAGGTCTAAGAGAGTATGCACACCCACCTTGCAAAGGTTTCTGGAAGAAAAAATGTGCAGCCTTTAAAATGTGGTTGTTGAAAAGTACTTGAAATCAATTATATAAATAGTGAAACCCATGTCATGGTTATGCAGAGAAATATAAAGCTCACGGTATAGAAAATTTCAGAGAGGAAAATTATGAGCTGGCGTGCCAGGAAAACAAAAAACATATATGCCCCTTCAAGCTAAGAAATCAGAAGGTCGTTTTCCACCTCTTACGAGCCTTGTTCTGGTACATCAGTGACAAACCCAAGGCTTAGAAGCCCTCACTTGAAATAAGATTAAAGTTCAGCGCAAGGACACATGCTGGGTCTGACCTTGGGCCGATTTCCAGGAATGCGCTCCGTGTGGTTCTGCTCCAACCCCCCACCGCCAGCCTTCTCTCTTCCTATGATGTGTCTCTGCCCAGCTGCAAGGCGAGTTGCAATCATTTTGTGATGATGACGACGATGATGATGATGATGGCCTCCCTAAACAGACAGGAGATAAAAGTACAAGGTGCTGTTAGACAGCACCATAGTCAAGTCCCCCACCCAATGAGAAGGTTACAACGTGGCCCTCTAGACGCCATTTCTGACCAAACTTCTTGCACTAAAACTTTGACATTCACTCAACATAATCATTCTACACCGTCCGTATCAGCACGATGCAGTACGGCAGCTACTAACCACACATGGCTGTGCAACACTGTAACCAGGTCTGTCCGAATGAGATGTGCTAAGAGTACACAGTATATGCTGGAGTTTGAAGACTTAGTGTGAAACAAGTGTAAAATACTTCGTTTATAATTTTCGTAACAACATTTTAAATACGTTGGGTGAAATACACTACCTCATTAATATATAGGTCACCTTTTTATGCTTTTCTACCTTTGCTGTTAGGAAATTTGAAATTACATGTGACATTTGATTTCCACAGAAGAGAAGCAGTCTAAATGGTCTTCTACGTCAGTGCTGTATGTTTGAGCATGTGTGGCAGTCTGTGCCTTTAACTAAAGTGTAAGCTCTCTGAGGATTCGAACTGTGTCCCATGCTTTTCACATGTCCTGCTGGACTCAGAATTCGCAGAATGTAGTACGTTCATGTTTCCTAAACTCCTGAGGAACTTCTTGCTCACTCTGGCCTATCAAGCCAGACAAGTGGCAGTGGCTGGGCCTGGGGACCCTCAAGCATGTGGGCTGGCAGGTGGGGGAGGTGGGTCTGGCAGGAGCCTGGCCGTGCAGCAGCCAGACCAGGAAGGGCCTCCACGGGTCCCTGTGGTTCAGCTGAGTTTTCCTGGTAAAACCGCCCCCCAGGTGCTCGGTGCCCACAGACTCAGACTGTCTGCCAGCTCTGCTAATCATTCACCCCCTTTGGCTCCCTTCTCGGCTACCTGTGGGCAGTGTCTGGTTGGGACGGGTGATACCTATCTTCAAAGTCAAGATCAGGATGTTCATGTTTCAATGAACAACATGTAGCGTTGGTGTCTGGCCAAGGTCGGGGCCTGAGTAGGGCTCTTTGTCCTCATCTGTGCCACTTTCAGCCTCGCTTTGCGGTTGGGTCAGTTCTCTCTCCTCCTCTAGCCACTGGCAACCAGCTTCTGGCTGCCAGGAACAATTGGGGAGAAGAGTGTGGGAGCTGGCATAAGCTCTGCTGCCCCCACTTCCCTGGGACCACAGCCTCAAAAGTACGAGAGGCACATTAAGAGTGGCCAAATGCAGCTGCTCTTGAGGCCTGCAGACCACGTGCTCTCTGGCCCAGCCCTGCTAATACCTGGAGGGGCAATGGACCCTATGCTTCTCCCAGAGCAAATCTGAGAACCAGAGAGAATCCCTGAGGCTCTCCCCCCGCTGACGCACAAAATCTGCCACTTTGAGTCTCTGTTCTCTAAGCACTGAGCTCTACAGTGCTCTCCAAGGGTTTGGAAAAGTCACTGAAAAAGAAAAACGGACAGGAAAGATATCCACTTCGGTACAACAGTATCCACAGCCTTTTGTGTTTACTTGAATAGAAAGTTCAACATTCAAATTTTTTCCTGATACAGGGTATGACGGTCAGCAAGTGGCGGGAGAACTGGATTTAGAACCCACATCTGACTTCTGGTCAATGCCTTTTCCACTCCCTCATGCTGCCTTCAGAAACTGCTTCTACACCTCAGGGCTCCCCTCCAGGCTATGGGATTAGAGATGATTTTCAATGTTCTCCTTTTTGCTTAGATATTTTATCTAGTTTTTCTACAATGACTATGCATTGAATAAAAACACCTAAAAGTCAAAATATAGCAAATTCCTTCAGAAAGCAAACTTATGCTTTGTTCTCCTTGCCCTCACACTCAAATCCCCAGCCCCACCAAATCTCTCAATAGCAAGAGGCCACCTGAATTACTGACATCCTCAATGGCAGAGAGAGATTTCGTTTGTCTGGAATTAAGCAGAAGAGAAGGTATATGATCAGAAGTGCTGTGTGATCTGGGTGTGAATTCTCCTCCTCTCCACCAGGGGCGCTGCCAGCATTACAGGCGCCACCTCTCTGCTCCACAGCATTGCTCGTACTATGAGATAGATGATTTTGCCCGTGACTGGGATGTTAGCACAGTTCACGTTGAGTGATAAACTTCCTCTCTCCTCAGCCATCCCAGAGAAACTCCTATTCCTTGCACCTCCTGTAATCCACCCAGAACCATTTGTAGGGCTCGGGTCATGCCTCACATTCCCTGCGCTTCATTTTCCACCATCCTCTGCCCTACACTCATCTGGCTGTTACCCAGTATCTACTACTCTGTCTCCGAAGGCACATCAGACACTAGTAACGGAGAAATGAAGCTGATGGGAAGATTCGCATTAAACTACAAACAGCCAACACCAGCTCGCTGGAGCCGCTCCTCTCAACAGTATCTGCATTTTAAGGATCATATCTTAACCCTTTGCATCAGTTGGGGATGCATCATGGGAGCACAGTGCCATGGAATATGGTGGAATAGGGATGTCCTGTGCTGACCAGACCTTACACATCTGTAGTGAAGACGTCTGTGGATGGCTGTTGCCTGTCTGCGGTGTGATGGGCCTGTGGTCATTTCAGGTCAGTGTGGCAGAAGTCAGGAAGTAGTATATGACATGTAGGTAGGGCAGAGCAAGGACACACCAAAACCCATGAGGACAAAAATGGAGCCCATGTCTGCCCCTCACCACCTCATACTTCAGTCCCAGGAGACCCACAGAAGCTGGTGCCCTTCACATTAAGAGCTACAGGCCTGCCTGGCCACTGCCCACGCCAAGGAGGTGAGCCAGCAAGACCAGTAGCAGAAAGCACGAGCTGCAGTGGTACCTGGTGCCTACACCTTCGGAGTGTGCTTAGGTTGCTGCTTCCCTCTCACCTTCAGATTGCCAGGTAATTTTCTATTTTACCAGCTCAACCTGGCACCATACAGAGAAGGGAATTCTGGGAAACATGGCCCAAGCTTAGGTTTATGCACTGCGAAACTAACTCTGTTCCCAAAATCATACCAAAATGTAGTCTTTTAGTTCCTGCAGAGATGTTGCAGTGGGGGCAGCAGGTGGGGCAAGGATGTGAAGAGGTAAGTGGAGATGATGAAGGGCGCTTTCTTGGTCATTTTCAAGCACGTGTCTACAAGAGAAAAGCCAGGTAGATGAGAAGTGTGTATTACGTGGTTATATATCCAAATGTTTGTAAATGTGTGTATATGGAAAGAAAACCTTACAACTGGACCCTCTTATGTCTGAGGGGTACTGAAGGATACTCAAGGGTGTATGAGCACCCAGGCTTCCTCTGGATATCACAGCAATCCCTATTTCTCACCCCACGGTCCTCTCTCCTGCTGCTCTGAGTGCTGGGCAGTACAAGGGGACAGAAGACATAGGAAAAAGGGATAAGTGTGACCAGAAGCACCTCTAGGGCCACTGAGGGGAGCCCCTAAAAGCACAATTATAAGTTTCTTCTTTGACAGAAGCCAGTTCCCAATGTGCTGTAATGGAACAGAACAATGAGGCTTTATGCCACCAAAGGTGTAGGCTTGATTCAAAACACACTTCCTCTTCGTGGGGGTGCAGTGGGTGGGCTGAGGTGATAAAAGTTGGTGGAAGGCGATTCTTTCCAAAGCCCAGACCTTGGAGTGGCCCCAGCGGGTGCGGACGTGCCGACTTGCTCTCCTCTCCTTCGTTAGGCAGGCCTATAGTTCAATGGGAACCTTTATTGGTCATGTGTACCCAGGGCTGTTTCTATTTTTGTACGGACTGTATCAGGCAATAGTGGTCTCCAAAGCTATGCTTGCCAGTGACTCTCTCCTGAATTCTTCCTGTCCTTCCAGGAATAAGGGAAGATGGGCCAAGCTGTGGGAGATATCCTACAGAGGTTTGTTGAAGATGGTGACCGGCTCCATCTTGATAGCTTATGAGATCAGCTGCACGAAAGGCAAGCTGACCCTGATGAACAGAGAACTGCCCCCGAGATTTATGTTCCCCAAAGAGTGGCAGCACCTCACCATGTTCTTCCTCCTCAGCCTCAGTGGCTGTGTAGATGTCACAAGCAAGAACCTGCTGCCTCGGAGGTGTGTGTTCCTAGAAAGAGGTGCCCTGGTGCTGGCCTTCTACGTACTCCTGATGCTGTTGGTGTCACACGTTCGAGATTCAACAGGGGTGGAGCTGCAGGTGCACGGTCTACTCATCTTGGTGGTGTTCCTGCTGATGCTGGTGTTGACTGTGGAGCTGTGGGCTCCCAATGAGTTTCTCCTCTCACTGATCGAGACCTTTCTGTTCCTCATGATGGGTTCCTGGCTGGTGCAGGCCGGCTTTATTCTCTACAGACCAGTCACTGGCTATCCATGGGAGGATGATGACATCAGTGACATCATGTTTGTCACCACCTTCTTCTGCTGGCACATGATGACCAATGCTCTGTGCCTGTTGGGAATCTATGGCATCTCTTCCTTTTGGCTCCGTCGTTGGCATCCCAGCTCAAAGCTGACCAGGTCCAAAGAAGCGCCATGCTGCACGAGCACTGAAGGACCCGCCTACACACTGCTGCCGGAAGTGGAGCACTCAGAGAAGGATGACCAGGCTCAGGCTCCTCTCCTCCCAGAGAGCTCACCCTGAGACAGGGCCTAGGATGCCCTGCCCACTGTCCACCCCACCTTCCTCTTTGTGGGTTCTCTCAGACGTGGGCATGGTAGCCTCTTTGGTCCCCAAGTGAAGGTAATGACCATGAAGGAGAGCAGCTGGTCTTCATCTGCTGGTACACGTCCTGTCCCTGAACCTCTAACTGCTGAGGGGATGAGGAGAGAGGGGGCTGAGAAAGGAATGCTAATGGGATTGGAGTGGTGGGGAGGAGAGGACCAGGGGACTAGAGAAATGTGCAGGAAACGCCATGGGGTTAGAGAGTGCAGTACAGGGGCCCTTTGAAGGGGAGAGCAGAGTCCAGCGGCCATGCCGTCTACCAGCTGCTTCCCCAGGCACAAGCAATTGCCTTTTACCTGAGGGAACAACGATTTCTTACCCTTCAGAACTGGAATCATTCAGGTGTCATCCTGATAAAGAAGGGCAGGTACTTCTGTTTGCTCACCAGAGTGGCGCCACCACGCGGAAGTGGCACAAACAGAGTTTGTAATTGGTTCACACAGGCTGAAACTGCGTTCTTCCTGCCACCACCACCCCCACCCAATGTTTAAGGATTGGCTTAATTTCAAATTCAAATGAATAAAGTGAGACTTATTAATGCTTTAAGAGAGCAAAACAGCAATATTTATAGAATCCAAATGCTCACTATCTCCCCAACTTCCTACTTTCATACTCCTATTCCAGCCAAAGCGTAATTCACCGTCATCACCTTGGCACGGGTCATTTACCAGATCTTCCCCGTGAGTCTCGGCCAATTTCACTCCCTCGCATCTCACGGAAAGCCATTCCACAATCACATTTTTATCATGCTGGGTACGCAGCACAAGGCCCACCCCTACCTTTACCCCACCGAGCACCCCCAGGGAGCCCTTCTCCACCCTGACTCCTTCCTTCTAGAAACTCCGAGGCACTAACACTAGACCCACCCGGGTAATTTGTTCATATGGCTGACATGCTTTTCTTTGTTCTGTTTCTGAAATCGTTCCCCTCGGGGAGGCCTCTCCTCACCACCTAAAGGCTAAGGACTCGGCCATAGCAAGTCACACACTTTTCCTTCCAGTACCTCTGCCTGCCCTTCCTTCTGAGAGTGTTGCCGGGCGGGTCAGAGGTTCTCTGACGCCGGGAGACACAATCATCCTAAAGCCTAATCTGTGAGAGTCACGAGCCCACTCTCTTCCTCGTTCCTGGGATAACGAAATCCCCTATGCTGTGTCTGCACTGTTTACTGTTAATTGTCTTTTAATCCTCACAAGCATTTCTAGGAGGAACCACCAGGCTGACTTGCGCAAGTCTTATAGTTACTATGAGGCAAGACAGGAACCCAAGGGCAGGTGTGTCTGACTCAAGCTAGTGACTGTTCTCTGGGTCACATTGATTTTGCTAATGGCAATGGAGAAGGGAGTGATTCTCAAAATGAAACTGATAGACAAAAGAGAAGGTAAGTGAGCCGCACAGCGTAAATACGGTAGACCCCGCTAAAAGTCGTCTCTGTCTCGCTTTCTGTCCCCCACCCAGCCCTGCCCCCAGGGTTTCCTTTGGAGAGTCTGCCAGACTCTCAGCTTCTGCCTGGGCCTTAAATTTCTGGGCTCAGACCTGAGGGCTCAGACCTGACGGCTCAGGGTAAGACTTGCTTGTGACCAAGTTTTCTGATCCTTGCCCATGTTCCCTTGAAAGTTGATTCCTAGGCTCTTTTCAATGACCTTTCTTGGGGGACCTCCTTTCTCATCACACTGATAGGAGAAGGCTCTGAAAACCACACATGTGGCACTGGCCAAATAGCTGAGTTGGCTAGAGCACTGTTCCAACACACCAAGGCTGCGGGTTCTATTCCCAGTCTGGGGCACATGTAGGCGCCTACTGATGAATGCATAAATAAGTGGAAAAACAAATTGATGTCTCTCTCTCTCTCCAAACAAAACAAAACAAAAAACCCACACATGCTGCTTGCTGCCCATGTCTAGTCTGTTAAAACCTAATTTTATAATTATAAACATCTGGTAATCAACTGATACCCCCCCAAGGCAATATCTCTTAAATATCCAGTATAGCTATTCACTTACTATATTTGAGATGGGACAGGGAGGTCCGCCCTTTGAAGGCCAGTCTGGAAACAACTTCCTACTCTTCGGCCTGGAGGGAGACATGTAATTCTCACAAAATTCCACCAGAGGGCACTACGTCCACGCCACCCCAGCCAAACCTCCCGCTCCCCAACCTGGTAAACAAATCGCTCAACAACGGATTTAAAAGGGGGGGGAAGGCAGGGAAAAGGAGGTCAGGAAAAATACAGAATCAGTCTAAGTATTGCCCAAGCATCCAGAAAACATACCCCAGGGCTGTTTGTTTCCCATTAAAATCTGGCATAAGAATGTGAAACACACTGGGACTCAAATCAACTACAGGGATGGGGCTGAGGGAGGAAGGACGCAGGATCCAGTTGAGGTTATCTTTGGGAAAAGCACCAGCTGAAAAGGGCACACTCTGATCCAAGCAATGTTTTGACCGCAATGCTCAATCTCCTAAATGTTTTCATAAGCTTCAACAATGCTCCCATCAATCCAGGGAAAACAAAGATATACCTACATGTACACTGAGAATAAGGAAGAGAGTTATCTATGAATATCCCAGCTTCACAAAAGTGAAACTAGCAGCAGAGTATTGACTATGAAGTATGATCTCCAAAGAGTCCTTAGAATCCGCCATAAAGCCCTTCTGGTTTCTGGTCATCTAGCTGTTCACAAAGAATATATACAATGTCCACAATATAGAAGGCACTAAAACCCACAGTGTAGGATTTAGAGGTAAACTGATAGGTCCGTGCACTTGGGACGTCCCTCAGTGGGTACGGCAGGGATTTGGTTGTTCTAGGGGCGCTGGTCCAGGAATGCACTGTCCACAGCCTGACACTAGGAAAGGGAAAGAAATGGGCTCCCACAGGAGTTACGACGCCTTGGAAACACACAGGCTGTGAAGTACTGCACTGTAGCAACTTCAGCAAACTACTGAGTTACCGAGGCCTCAGTGTCCTCGTCTTCAAGGCATAAAACTGTGAAGATCTAATTCCAGAATTGCCTGGCTTTCATTTTCTCAATAAGACTTATTTTCCCATGTTGTTAGCTAAGATGAACTTCATTCTTCCCAACTCTCCAGGCAAGTTTCTTATTGGGAGACATGGCTTGGGGTAGGGCTAACACAGACCCAAACCTTCAGTCCTAACATGCAGTTTGGGAAATGGAGTTTCTCCTGTATTTGAATGATTCCAAGGGGCTTTCAACAAGACTCAAATCAGGCTAATGAAACATAGCTGAGATTCAAACTCCTCATTCCCTAATGTGAACTTAAGAATGTCAAACAATCGGAAAGGACATAAAGATCAAATTCTCTGAGTTAGGTACTGAACTGCGGTAAAACCAGGTCTTTGCTCCTTTAATTGTGTAGTGAAATTTGAAAGCTTGGCCACCGGCAGCTTCTTCCCTAAATCGGGCCTAAGAGCAATGACATTAACTTCCAAGACTGTTTCTTTTCTTCTTTTTGATTTTCGTTTTAGCCTTATAGGATGGTTTGTTCTTTTGGAAAAGAACTGGTGTTAGTTTATTTAATAGCTTACAGTTTTGATTGGGTCTCCAGGGTATTTCTGAAGTGTGCATCTCAGGTATGTGCCTTTAGCCTGATTAAAGAGCTTTGTCGAATGCCTACTGAAATCATCCAGACATAGGGGAAATTCCATTTCTCAAATGACATGTTATGGCTGAAGGCTTGGGTCTGTCTGAGCCTCACCCCAAAGCTTCTCTCTAAGGAGGGGAAGGCACCTCAAACTACCAGATGAAGGGCTTCCAACCTTCGGGGTGAGAATGGATGATTCTTCAAAAGAGATAGAAATTTAGTGGTAAACTCACAGGTAAAACCCAAGGCCTTCTAAGGCAAGGCCTTCATTTCAGGCAACAGAGCAACACTGAAAAAATGCTTTTAGTCCCTGGCCCACTCCTTGGATTTGGAACAAATTCTTTACCTGAAATATTGCTCTCCCACTCCACCTACCCCTTGGACATAGTGACTCTATGCTAAGAGGCACAAACTCGACTTTGGAGGGGTGGGGAACGGGGGTGGATTTCAATTTGGGGAAGAAGAGGAAGGAGAACAGAGGGCAGCGGACACAGCAAAGCCAAACTGGATGAAACAGGCTGTTCTACTTTTAACTTCTCCAAAAGTGGTCTGGGTTTCTGGGGGCGAACCAGTTTGTAACAGGCCGTTTTCTGCTTTTTCTTCCCCCATATGCTTTTAAGCTTCCCTGGTCGGTCCTTGGACCCGTTCAAGCATGATTTCCGTTGGTTAAGTAAGTGTAGGGTGGGCAGAGGAAGACAAGCTTCTTGTTCCCTCCGGAACGACTCGGCAGTCATGTATTATGTTGCTGGCCCTCACAAAGTATGTCCCTGGTCACATGAATGGATCAAAGCAAATCCACTTCCATTCTTGGAAAAGCAGCTCAAAGCACTAGCCCTCCCGGTGCCGCTGGCGTTTCTGTGTGTTCAACAAACATGACTTATTGAACACTCTATCCTGAATGCTCCTGGGAAACTAAAGATGAAAGAGCTACTCAACGAGGTTAAGATACCTAGCCAACAGGATGCCATAAGCTAGAAAAGCCAAACTACCCTTGTTTGTACTATTCCACGTCCCATTATGTTTAGCATCCCCATCTCGGATGCTGGATGGAAGTAATGAGTATAGAGAAGGCTGTAGATTATGCTTAGGCAGTTTGACGTCTGGAAACCAACATCTTTTTTCACAAGAACATCACCTTGCACCTCCTCCACTACCCCTCTTCAACCACTTAAACACAAGGCTGCACAGAAAGAAATGGAAGGAAGACAGCTATTAGCAGGTCTAGGCTCCCTCTCATAAACCAGTGGAGAGTTACAGAGTTAGAAGGTTGTGTAGAATAGATTGTTATGGGAAAGAATCCAATCTCTTCAGGTTATTTTATCCTGTATTAATCATATTACTGTTTTCTAAACACTATGTTCCAGGTACTATCCTCCTTCATTTGTATATATTGTCACAATGAATCCTTACAGTATTTTGGAGACAAGGAAACTCGGGTTTCATGTGACTTAGCCACATGAAAGCCCAGATGTAAACCTAGGCTTGTCCGAGCTGAAGCCCAGCCTTCAACAACCCAATGCAGCCCTGGAATGTGGAATCCCTTACACTGGCAAGGCGCTTTGCCTGGTCCAGAACGTCTCCTGTCCGAAACATACTCAAAGCCCTTTTGAGAGGAAGACTGCTTCTGTCATTTTCAAGCACTACAGCGTTAGGCACACTCTTCAAGGGGAGGGATTTTGACCAAAGAAGCCAAGTTCTGTGTGTGTGTGTGTGTGGTCACAAGCAACATTTATTTTCCATATCTGTGGTAAAGAATAACCAGAAGAACAAACTTCCTCCTTTCCTCTTTTAAAAAAGGCACTGAAAACATGACTTGCTTGCCTTCAACCAGAAAAATCTCAGAGTCTCAAACACTGGGGATCCTGAAAGATGCAAATCACGGCCAGATACCATCAGGTAGATTTCAGGGAATAAAAATAGAGAATGTTTAAGTAATAGAACTGATTATATATATATATATATACAGTTCTATTGTGCACATACAATATTTCTATACATATTCTATTATGGTTGTACATATATATACACACATAATTATTGTGCATCTGTTGAAAGCCTCCATTTCATGATTGTGTTCACCTATACCTCTTCTTCACCATCACAGCAAGGCTGAGGAGGAAGGGGTACTGATTCTCATTTTCTGGGTTAAAAAGAAGACGCAATAAATCACCTTAAAGCAAAGCCAAGAGAATTTGCTGAAGGAATCCTACGTTTTCAACCTACCCTGGGAGTAGGCAAAGGCCTCCCGTTCCTTTCAGCTGCCCTTGGGGGCGTTTGCACACAAGAACTTCAAATCTGGTGGGCAGCTCTTACAGTCCTCTCGTGAAGACCTTTATTTGCAGACAAGAAAACGTGGGCCCAGAGAGGCTTGCTTTAGGTTTAACAGAAGGGAATCAGAAAGGTCTCATGACTTTGTTTCTGCCCCTCTCAGGTTCCTCTCTCTGTGGACGATACTATAAACACGGCACACTGATGAAAAAAGCGAGATCGCAGACTTCTGGTCGTTTCCCCAAACCCACCGAGAGCCGACTCTTCCAGGCCTACCTCCGCAGGCCCTAGGGCTTTCTGGCCCCTGCGCCCTTCTTAACTTGGCACCAGCACCGAGAAGGGGGCTGCAGGCGGGGTGGCTCTCTAACAGTAAAAGGCAAATTTATGTTCCGGTGGGTTAGAATTCCCTCAGGGAGCTATGGGGCATGCCGTAGGACCTCCTGAAAGAGAGGACTCTTTTGCAACATGATCCAACCTGAAGTTTGCAGGGGCGGAGGCTGCAGGAGGCTTGCTGGATGCTTCCAGAGCCGGGTATGGGCTCCGGGGACGCTCAGCGGTGGCGAAAAACAAGGCGGGGTCCTTCCCGGCAGGAACTCGCCCCTCCTCCGGCAACCGCCCCTCCTTTCCGCCCCGCCCCTCCTCTCCCCTCCCCCCACCAGCACCCCCTCCCCTGTACCGGCGCCCTTCCCCCACAACCCTTACCCTTTCTTTCTTCCCGGGCGCGCCGGCCCCCTCCCTGGAGGCGTCCGCTCCTCTTGTCGCCCAATGGCCGAGGTGCCCGGGCGCGCATCAGTCGATCCGCCCCGGCTGCCCGCCGCTGGGAGCCAATCAGGGCGCTGGGGGCGGCCCAGGCCGCCGATAAAGGGTGCAGAGCGGCGGACGGCTTTGCAGAGCCGAGGATGGGAGAAGAACTGAGGGTTTAAATAGCATTTCCAGCTTCCTCTCTTCTCCTCTCCGCACCTCGCTCTCACGGCCTGCCCGCCCTGCCGCCTGCTCGCCCCCCAGGTAAGCGGCTCGCCGGCCCGGGGGTCTCGGAGGTGACGCAGGCGGCCCCCGCCGCCTCCCGAGCTGCATCGCTTGGCTTTGGGGTTCGGCCCCTTCCCACCTCCTGGCCCTGTTTGGAGTCTCGGCCAGCGGGTAGTCCCGCGGGCCTGCACCGCCTTTGGCTTGCGATGGGTCTGGGTTGGCAATGGTGGGCCGCGCGGGTAGCCAGGATTTGAAGAGGGCGGGGACTTGTTTTGATCTTCCTTTGGCTGCTTTCGGCCCAAAGCGCCGCCCCTGGAGGTCGCTCTGCGGCGTTGTGTGCAGGGTGGATGGAGTGGCTGGTGGCTCCTCGGGTGAGCGCGAGGTCCTACGGTGGCAGGCCTTGGCAATTAGTCATGATCTTGGTGATCTTATAGTCGCCTCCGTTGAGACGAATGACCGTGTTAGTGCAGTCAGCTCCAGCCTCAGTCCCTGTGACCTGCCACTGTGACTGAACAATGGGGACCCCCCAGCTACGGCGTGCTAGGGGCGCGGCTACTGGAGAGGCCTGGTCTGGCTGGGTAGAGTCGGCGGCGTCTCGCTGTCCTCCCGCCGACGTCCCCGCGCCCCTTCCCCCCACCCCTCCAACCTCTGCCCTCGGAGGGGTATGGCGCCCTCGGCCAGGCCCTGAGATCCGGACCCGGGCCCAAGGGGCGGGACTCCAACTTTCCAGACATTTCGGTTCGAAGGGGTTGCACTCAAAGTGGATTATCCCAACCGCCCCGAGGGTGGCACGGGGGGATCCTCCCCCAGCCGCAAATCCACGAAGAAGGCATCGAAAGAAAATGAAGACGACCAGGAGTCGCGGACCTTAGACCTCCCCTCCAATTGCTTCGGCTTTGTCGCCTATACCGTGAACTCGGGAGAGAAATCGCGAGTCAAGATTAAGACCTTGAGCCACCAGCCTGCGTTTTCTGGCATGTCCCGGTGTGATCCCGATCGCTCTCTGACTCCCTCGCCCTCTCCCGTATCCTCTCCATGTTCGATTCCCTCTCCGTGTCTGACTCCCTCACCCCGAAGGCTCCGGTCCGTGGACCAGCGAGAGCCGGACATGGAGGACAGGCGCGAAAGCCACTCCAAAAGGAGAAGGGCCAAGGAGGGCACCCCCAAGGATACGCTTGACCTTACGTGGCTGGGGTGAGTGAGGAGGCAGGGAGGAGGACCCCGAGCCAGCTGCCGCTGCAGAAACAGCTCAAAACTGAAGAATCCCATTTTTCTCCCCATCGGGTCATCTAGCTACGCGGTGGCACCAGTTGATAAGAATAAACAACTAGGCTGTTGGCGACCAGTTCATCTCAGAAAAGAACAATCTGTTACCAAGGCTCTAGGAAGAAAGTGTGGCTTGACGTGGGGGAGTCAAGTTGGAGACTGGGTTGTAGTTTCTCGTGGGAGCCGGAGGGATCAAGGGATTGCTCCTTCTGGGCTTATTAGTAGGCAGGTATGGGGATGAGGCTGGGATTTGACCCACCAAGCCTTCTAGACTCCCTAGGCAAATACAAGGCCAAAGACTTGACAGATGAAGTCCTCTTCCCTCCGGAGAAGGGTGAAGCTGTTGGAAGAGACGGTTATGTTTTCAGCTGGGTAAACATGGACTGTTGCCCATAGAAACTTGTTCACTGTACTTCAGAGTTGCCCAAGTCCCAGGAGGAGAACAATATGTTCCCTTTCTAGCCACCCTGGGCCGCTGACAGGGCAGGGAGGGACAGAACCGTTTCCTCTTGGGTTTTGTGGCTTCAGAGTGTCTTCTCTTTCCGAGGTTTTGCGGTGGTGGCTTACATACAGCTTCTAGAGTGCCTCAGCTTTTGAAAGTCCACATCTCTTTCTTGCATTTGGAATTTTCCAGTGGGAATTTCCTAATTCCTTGAAAAGTGCTAGTGGCATCTCAAAATGTCATTCCCCAATGAGCCTTTTGGCTCCAGTGGATGGAAATTACGGCAGGGTGCATCTGAGATTCCAACTCCAACCAGCTGCTTCTACATCTTGGTGATAGAATGACTGCAGTTCTTTTAAGGGAGCCACCAGCCTCTTAAATCTAGCTAGCCCCTTCATCCTGCCTACCTCGTGGGGGGATTGGTCCCGGGGGTTTGGAGGAGCCTTTAATAATTAACATGCTCCCTACTGTGCCAGGCAAAGGGCAGACTCACCCCAAGACCATAGCAGCCAAGCCTTTCTGTGTCTGGATTTTACTTGTATTAGGAGACCACGTCTGTTCAGTTAAAGTCATGTTTCTGAACTTCTCTATCAGCTTTTTTGGTTTTGAGTTATTTTCTCCCCTTACTGTCTTCGTATTTTTAAGAAAAAAAATTTCCCTGCCTTGGCTGCCCTAAGAAATTAGAGCTTAGCCCTCACAAGTGTAGATTCTAGTTTGAGGAAGCCTATAAGGAGCTTTTTGTCTAATATAAAACTTTAGTCCCCCTGAAAGCAGAATAAATAAATACACCATTGAGTCTGTGACTTCTTGATTTCATTGTTCTTATTCAAGGAGTCCTACAGAAGATCAGTTTGGAATTGATGTTCTTTTTTTTAGAAAAATATTTCATTTATTTATTTTCAAAGAGAGGGGAAGGGAAGGAGAAAGAGAGGGAGAGAAACATCAATGTGTGGTTGTCTCTCGTGTGTCCCCCACTGGGAACTGGCCTGCAACCCAGGCATGTGCCCTGATTGGGAACTGAACCGCTATCCTTTGCCTCACAGGCCCACGCTCAGTCCACTGAGCTGCACCAGCCAGGGCTTGGAATTGATGTTCTTAGTTGTTTTTTTTTTTCCTCTCACCAGCACATCTTCCACCATGGCCACCTCAGCGAGTTCCCACTTGAACAAAGGCATCAAGCAGGTGTACATGTCCCTGCCCCAGGGTGATAAAGTCCAAGCTATGTATATCTGGATCGACGGCACCGGAGAAGGACTGCGATGCAAGACCCGGACGCTGGACAGTGAGCCCAAGTGTGTGGAAGGTGAGAGAAGGCAGAGTGGGGAGTTCGAGCCAGGCAGAAGCCACATCGGGGTGGGCAGTGGCCGGAGCCCAAGCCTCTAGATTTGGCCTCTTTGTTATTCTGTTTGGAAGCTTTCCGAAGGCAAGGCTTTTCAGCCTTCATTCAATCAACATGAAGCTCCGACCCTGCCTCAAAGCAGGGCAACAATGGACCCCTTTTTTTAAGTGGAATCTTGCATGTAAGCCAATAGAGAGAAGACAAAAGACGAGAAGTGTGCATTGGGGGAGGGGGCTCGAGACTGCTGACTTGGTTATCTTTCCTTAGTTGGCTTAAGGCACCCCCCGGGGACCCCGTTGAAAACCACTGCTTCAACCTGACTGACACACTTACTGTACAAATTTTAAGTAACGGTTTTTGAACTCGTATTGCCGGGGCTCTAGACGGCAAAGCAAACACCCCAAAGTGGTTTCTTCATCAGACTAGCCGTTCGCTTGCGTTTTGTTGTTACCACTGTTGGAAATTTTTCTATCATCTGATTGCCTGTCCCTCTAGCAGTTATGGTGTGAGTTGTAGCCCTCATTTTTTTTTCTGGTCTAGAGTAAGCCATAGCCCTCCCTTGGGAAAGGGATCAGAGGATAAAAACTGTCACCTCTTAACCACATTTAGGATAGCTTCCTCTTTGGATAATGTCACTCGAATGCATGAATGACCATAACGTAAGGCATCGGTTGCGCTCCTGCTGTGTGGTGAGGATTAGGCACTGGACGGGCAAAGGTGTAAGAGTCTGGTCTTCACCTTGGAGATCTCGGTCAGCCAGGGAGAGGAAGATACCGGTCTTTAAACACAGCGAGTAAAGAGGATGATGATGGGGAAGCGTCTTTGAACCAGTCATCCTGCTGCTTGGCTGTTTCCTCATCTACAAAATCAGAACACAGCTTAAGCCACAGCGGTCCATATACACAGTCGGGGAATGGATTAGACAAGGAAGCAACACACATGGTTTAGCGGGGCAGTCGAGAACCTTTGTTTCTCCTATTTCAGTATTTTAAATGACGACTGACTCACTGTTGATGTCAGAATATTTCAGTGTGTCTCCTTGTTGTCCAGTGGTCTTCTTTGAGGAGGAAATAATCATTCTTGGGTTGTTCTGGTGACTATTTCTTTTAAGGAAGAGATGCGAGGGTGTCCAAAGTGGTGGTCATGCATCACTGAATTTATGCAAAAGAGGGTGTAGACCTTTAGAGGTGTAAAAGCCAGTGGGGGATTGTGTGCTCGCCTGGGAAGCTGTGCGTTTCTAACTTGATTTTTCCCTCTTTTTTGACCCCAGAGTTGCCCGAGTGGAATTTTGATGGCTCTAGTACTTTGCAGTCTGAAGGTTCCAACAGTGACATGTATCTTATTCCTGCTGCCATGTTTCGGGACCCTTTCCGCAAGGACCCCAACAAGCTGGTGTTCTGTGAAGTCCTAAAGTACAACCGAAAGCCTGCAGGTGCGTGTAGGATAGATGTGGGTGCCCCCACCCCAATTCACAAATGCTGTAAAGGAGAGGGAGGAGATACTTGCAAAGTTAGTAAGAAAGTTAATACGTGCCCGTAATTGAGAGCAGTTTGATAGCACCTCTTGGTTGCTACTTCATTCCAGACAGCTGGTTTTCTTCTATCTGTCCCCTGACTAAAACGTGGGCATCTTTGTTCATTGATAACATGCATTTGCCTCAAGGTCTCTAACTGCGCCTTTGGGACTTGTCTGGCATGCCTCTTGCTCCCAGTTCTCAGCCATTCAACTTTCAAAACCTTACCTATGTGAAGTCTCTTGCTGCACTTTGCCAATGAGACCTTTTGGTGAGTCTCTTAATGACTCTGAACCTTAATTGCCTTTGTTTTGAGAGGCGGTGTCATATGGGGGTAAAGGACGTGTACCCTGATGCCAAGACAGTCATGGGTTTCCTGGCTCTGCTGCCTGCCTTGTCCCCTGGGCAGGTCACCCAACATCTCCGAGCCTCGTTTTCTCAATTACAAAAGTGGAGGCTTGTAATACCCTTCCAGGTTGTTACCAAGACTCACTTGTGGATTTTCCTTCCTATAGCACTCCTAACGTGGTTACCAGGACATTGGTACACAGCCTATGATAAGTTTGCATTTGCTTATTTTAAAGTCCCCATCCCGCTTAGAAATGGTTTCCAGTTGAGCTCATCTCATTTTAATGTTTTTCTTTTGCCCCGGCCTATAACTCAGCACTTTATCTCTCACCTGGAATGCGTGGTTCTTCATACACAAATGATTTTTCTCAGTAGAAAGTGTAAATTTGGCTCTAAAAGCCCAAGAGTCTCATGAAGTAGCAGTCTCATGAATAGAGGGTTTAAGTACCTGGCATTTGGTACTTAGAAGGTGGCCAGCATGCTGATGGGGTAAAAACTTGCTCTGATCTAGATCCACTGTCGTGCGACTTGATTTTAACTTAATCAGGAACCTCTCCACAAATGTTTAATTACAGCTTGTCCCGTTTTCCTCTCTTATGCTGGTGGGCCACAGAAAGGTTCACACAGGCTCAGGGTCAGTTCAGCTTGTACTCAACACTTAGGCTGCGTGGATTTGGAAGAACTTTCTCTTTTTCTCCATCAGCACCAAGATTTGGTATATTTGTCCGTCTGTCTCTAAAGGCATATTGACTCTGTTTTCGTTTTCTCTAGAGACCAACTTGAGGCACACCTGTAAACGGATAATGGACATGGTGAGCAATCAGCACCCCTGGTTTGGAATGGAGCAGGAATATACTCTCATGGGCACCGATGGACACCCCTTTGGTTGGCCTTCCAATGGCTTCCCAGGGCCCCAAGGTGAGTCCCGTTGATGAGAGATGAACCTGCTCCTCCTTCCCCAGCTGCTTCATTGGTGAGGCAAGTCTCTTTCCCCAGGGATGGTAGTGATTCCTTGCGGGTCAGAAAGCTATAGGAGTGTCCCTTAGACTGGCTGGAATAATACTTGCCCTCCGGTTACACAGATCCAAACATGGATGCTTAGCCATTGACATTGAGGGAAAACCTTGCACTTCACTCAGGTGGGGTCCCCTGTCCCATTCACTGCCCTCCTCCAGGCGAAGGCAGGGTCAGTGGTGATTCCAGGGGGCCAATGTTAAGAGCTTTCTGATGACCGACGCTGGGTCTTGCTTCTTAGATGGAAAGGGGTGTTCTCTTAACATTTCTTCTTGCTGTCTCCGCAGGTCCGTACTACTGTGGCGTGGGAGCCGACAGAGCCTACGGCAGGGACATTGTGGAGGCTCACTACCGGGCCTGCTTGTACGCTGGCATCAAGATTGCAGGGACAAATGCCGAGGTTATGCCCGCCCAGGTAAATGGCTCTAGTCCCCCGCTTTCCCCTCCTGTAGGCAGTCTCAGTAGCAAGGGCTACTGCTGCTCCCGTCCTTGACCCCAAACCTAAGAGGCTGGGTGGACTTGAAGTGAGAGGGGAGGGGATGTTGGAGGTTCTGAGCGGGGTGAACAGGTGGCTTTATTTTTAAGGCCAACCTTCTCGTTCTCTAGTGGGAATTCCAGATAGGACCCTGTGAAGGAATCGAGATGGGAGATCATCTCTGGGTGGCGAGGTTCATCTTGCACCGGGTGTGTGAAGACTTTGGAGTGATAGCAACCTTTGACCCCAAGCCAATTCCTGGGAACTGGAATGGTGCAGGCTGCCACACCAACTTCAGCACCAAGGCCACGCGAGAGGAGAACGGTCTGAAGTGAGTGCCTTCCCCTCCCGGGTCTTCTTATCTGTGCAAGAATCTTGCGCAGGATTTTATGTTTGCAGATGAGTAAACAGGAGCTCCCGCTTTGGACCTTAGCTTTTTGCACTTGGCTTCAAAAATTGTTTTCTAACCCTGTCATTCTGTTCCTTTTTGAAAAGGGCCAGAAATACTTCAGGAATAAGGATGCGGATAGGGAAAAGTTGACATAGATTAATAGCATTTGAAAATCTTTGATAAGAACCAAGTAATAATAGAAGCGTGTGAATGAACTTAATGCTTAAGGGTGGGAAAAGGTCTTTGATTAGGATCTTTTCATTCAACAAATATCCTCTACTGTGTGTCCAGCGCTGTTCTGAGCACTGGACACGCCAGTCCCGAGGCAGGTATATACTCAACTGGAGGGAGCCATGTTGAGGTGAACTGGAAAAAGTCTTTGATAGAGAAGTTACTTCATTCTTGGCATGCGTTCCTGCTCTCGTGCTTGAAAGACAGATTTCCTGGTGACAGGCCGGACCCTCACCTTCTGTGTTTCCTGTAGGTACCTTGAAGAGTACATCGAGAGGCTCAGCAAGCGGCATCAGTACCACATCCGAGCCTACGACCCCCACGGGGGCCGGGACAACGCCCGGCGCCTCACCGGATTCCACGAGACCTCCAACATCAACGACTTTTCTGCCGGCGTGGCCAACCGCAGCGCCAGCATCCGCATTCCCCGGGCTGTCGGTCAGGAGAAGAAGGGTTACTTTGAAGACCGGCGCCCCTCTGCCAACTGTGACCCCTTCGGGGTGACAGAAGCCCTCATCCGCACGTGTCTTCTTAACGAAACTGGCGAGGAGCCCTTCCAGTACAAAAACTAAGCGGACTAGACGCGCAGCCATTGAACCCCTTCTAATTCTTCAACCCGCTCCACTCTCGTGCCACCCCCCACCCCCTCAATTGTCATAATAGCCGTAACTCAAAGGGCAGAGCATCAAGGTCTTTTTGTATTCCTTCTGCCCAATTAATATCTCTTGCTTTTTTTGGCCAGGTTACAGAGGTCAGGTTCTTAATCTCTTCACACACACACACACACACACACACACCCCTTTTACCAACCCCCCATCACTGAAGCTTCCTAGTGCATTAGTGGAGAGGGGGCGGGGAAACATAACCACTGCTTCTCTTAATCAGATGTTTGTCCAACAGGCGTTAGCTATGCGGACAGTGAGTATAGTGTTTATGAAGGGAGGGGAAGGACCTTTTTCTTCTTTGAGGTAGCTGAAGGGGGAGGTTGGGGGGCTGGGCTTTTACTCTGTGGCTAGGTTAGATATTCCTTCCCCCTTGGTGGAAGTTCCATTTCTTAGAAGGCTGTGACCAGATTTCTCATGGAAGTGAGAATTAGGAGAGGGGAATGTGGGTGGCTGGCAGGAAGGTGCCCCTCTCTGTGCTGTGCTTCCTGGGCCTGGGGCTAAATGCCCTCATTTGAAGATAAGCTCAGCGCAAAGGAAAGGGATGGATCGCTCTACCTTAGAAGAAAAAAGCTCTCATTCCTTGGTCCTCCACCTATAACAAATCAGAGTAGTATTTTTATATTTAAATGCAAAAACAAAAAAATTATATATATATGGGTGTGCAGATATATGTGCTTTTTCTAAAGGAGGAAAACCATTCTGGTCATCAGGAGCCGAATTGGAAGTGAGTAGTGTGGTTAGAAAAAGGCTCCTTTTGAGTTGGGGGTGAGGGTGGAGATGCTTGAAGAATTGGCTGTCAGGGGCTGTTAAACCCTCACTACCATTTAAGGGTTTCTCTGTGCCCTGCCCGCCTTTTGGGAGGGGGTGGGCACTGGCTGGTTAACAGGAAAGAGCATGGATGGCAGCTGCGGTCACCTGAGCCCCCTGGCTTTGGTGTAAAGACACATGTCTGCACAGGGGTTTAGAAATAGGAGTTGGCTGGTCAACTTGAGCATGTACGTTACTGACGGGGTGATGGGTTCTTTTCCGGGGGACAGCATGTCACTAAAGCAGGCCTTTTGATATATTAAAAATTTTTTAAAAAGCAAAAACTTTAGATTTTAATCATATCGGTAGGGATTTGAAGACTTTAACAGAATTGCTTGTTTGCTTCTCCTGTCCCTGTCTCTGCTTTTAGAGGGGAGGGGACAGGACTGGGGTCAAACGCTGGTAATTTTGTATCTTGGTGTCCCGTTCTGAGTGAAAATACTCCTTTGTTAAGGTTCCAAGGAGGTTTTTTGTTTCTTTTATAATAAAAAATAAACCCCACCTTCATCTCTATGTCCTCCCTACCATTCCTGGCTGTTTTTGTGTTGGTTGTGGCTGTGGTTTTTTTTCCCTTTGCCCTGACGACTTCTCATTGCCATGTACAGTATGTTCAGAGTTAGGTAACTCCTTGTAAACAAATTGAACTGCCCAGAGCAGCTCTAAATCAGCCTAACATTTATTAGATCTGACTTGATTTTTTTTTCTAAAGCCCTATGTGCCATTTCACTCTCCTACCACAGATCAGGAGGTTTTTAAGGAGGCAAAGTAAGCTTGGGTTTACCTGCTCTTAGAATTAAAAGTCCTGAGTCATTGCCAACCAACTCTTCCCTGAACCTTGGGTATTTGGCAGCCCTGGATGAAGGTACACTCAGCTCTGGAGTTTTGTAGTGGGATACAAACCCCTCACCCATCCAGCCAAGCCCTGTGGTCCGGAACTTGGCTTTGATCTACCCTGCTGTAACATTGTTTTGAATACCCCTCTGGCTTAATTTTATAGCAGCCTCAAGTATTTGTGTTATTAACTGGTCTTGCGTTCATCCTCTGCCCAGTTGCCCATGATTCATCTCAATAACAAATACTGACCACATTGCTGCCCTGGTTACAGCCTTCTAAGGCTGGGTGTGTGCTCAGGGCTGGCCAGCCAGGGTATGTCCTGGATATACCTTGACTTGCACTAGACCCATGAGCTGCATAGGATTCCCCCCAAAAGCTCCATGCTGACACCTCTGTGCCCTTGCTCTTTGTCCCTTTACCTGGAATTTCTTCCACCTTATCCTGCCTCACTCCTTAGTTCCTCTCTACACCAGGCTGGGGAGGAGCTCCCTCTCTCTCTATAGTGCTGTGCACGTAACTTCTAGCAAAAACACGCAACACTAACCCAAGGTACCAGCTAGTGTGGGCAATAGTAATGACTTTTTAAAAGGTGGTATCCTCAGTTTCAGTGTTATTGGGGCCTATTGCAACAAACATGACTGTTTTCTTTGGGCAAGTGTATATTTTGCTCAAGTTTTAGGTATTTTTTTAATATTTTTCTCAGATGGTTGGTCCCTGACAATTTGATTTTCAAAGCAGGATGGGTGATCTTACCTATTGGTTTGCTGGGCGTGGTCCCAGTTTGTACCTACAGTTTCAGCGTGATTGTTAATGAGTGCCCTGTGTTTTCCTGCTGTTGCTGATAAATTATGTGTTGGTTCTTCCTCAACTGTAGTTCTTCATCCTCTCCCCAGCCTTTCCTGAGTCAGCCCTATACTTCTGGGGGGAGACTGTTCCGCACAGTGCAAGTACTTGAACTTGATGGAGGCAATGACTTGAGCACTTTTTTTTTTCTTTTTTTTTGCTCACTGTAACCAATTGCCTGACAAAGATTACACGGAAAAAAATTCTAAGTTAAAATGATTTAGGTGCAGACAACTAGAATTAGTTTCAACCAACAGGTCACAGTGCAATTCCCTTGTATTTCACTGGGTTACATAGTAACTTTATCAGATTAAACGATGACAACCAAGCCTTCAGCCTTAGAGAGAGGCCAGTATTCACGAAAGGAGTTCTCCACATTAAGCGCGAGTTACCCTTACATTTCATCCTGCTGACCACTGGATAAGAGCTAAAGGATGATAGCAGAGGCTAACAGGAATGTTTCCTGCCAGGGGCCAATTACCGAGTCAGATCTGTGCGCCTGGGTGGAATGACACACTCGTGGATGAAAGAGGTTCCTGGGCAAACACTTGGTTCTGAGGCTTCACCAGTCTCACCAAAGGCTGCACTTACATCATTCCAGCTGCTGCTTGGCCCTTATGCCCATAAGGTGCAAAGTCTACAAAGTAACTCGCTACCCCACAGAAAGCTCATCACTCAACAGAACTTTCTGACAACTCCATGGAGGCAGAAATCCTGCTTTTCATCCCCAGGACTGTATCCCCAGACCTATCATGGTGCCTGCAGTACCTGTTTAATGAATTATTTTTCAGTATCACTTTTGTGAACTAACTGTTGGGTGGTGTCAAACGCTCATGAGGTCTCAGCCGTTTGGCTGTGTTTTAACCCTGGTCACAGCACTAAGCAAAGTTCTGTTCTGAGCTTTTAAGGACTCTGCTGGCTTGGTGGATTCTGGATGAAGGTGGCTACCAAAAGCCTCCTGTTGCTTTATGAGTTATAACTAATATAAAGTAGCAATTCATCATGTAATTCCAGAGGTTTCTGGTAAATTGCTACTGTAAATAGTTTGGGTCGATAAGGGCCCTTCCTTTAGCTCAATAACCAACCACTCATTTTTTAAAAAAATGTCATACTTGATTTTCAAATATTCAACTATGTGTTCATACTCATAGGTACAATATAAACATACTATATTTGGATTTATGCATATATGCACACATTAGGTTCACCATACAGGTGTCCTACATGAACCTTTTGCCAAAGAATATCTTATGAAGGAGAATGGAAGCAGGACACCAAAAGAATTCACTGGGCTGAGAAGCTGTCGCTCGGCAGGGCACAGAAAGCTATTGGTAGTCTTCAAGCGTGGTTCTGCTGCAAGCCACCCATTCTAATTCTGCCCTCTCCAGAGCTTCATAGACAGGAGGTTCCTGGGCATTGTCGCCTATCTGCCTGTAATTCATGTCCCAAAGGCCCTCAGATATAAGGGGGTGGATGGTGTCCTAAGTCCCATGTCACAGAGGAAGTATCCACGCAATTGCTGGTGTTCGATGAATTGCTTTTAGCAGGTTGTCCTCTTCGTCGTGGGTCTCAGGTTGAGCTACTTGCATTGTCTTGAGATTGTAACTTGTCTCAGCTCGCTCAGCTCCTGCAGCATATGGCCCCCTTGGTGCATCTGCTGGCTTAACCTCCCATGGGCACACACTAAATCTAAACTCTGCATGGAAGCCTTTCTGTATTTGCTTTTCAATAAAGATTCAGGATAACCGCTCCCTTGTTATTATTAACTGCTCTATAGACATTAAATGGAAGAGGTATTCAAGAGCCTCCAAATTTAATAAATAAAATGGGGGCCAACTAGGCACTATTCTGGGTGTTTTGGTGCAAACATATGAATGAAGAGGTCAAGGGAATGGAAATTCTTCTTTTCTTCATCATGTCTCTCCTCCTCCTGTAGCTAAAAGAATGTCATTGGCATCAGTAAGCAGTATGAGAAAGACTTCAGGTTCTATTGCTTTGTATACTAGCTATTCTCAAATGAGCTTGTGAGCCATTTCAGCAACTTTACTCAAATAATATTATAGTACCGTATGGGGAGGGAGGAGGCTTTTCGTGGGAGAAGTGAACCCTTGTCTGGGGTCTGGGAAGAATTCTCAATACATTAGGAGCTATTATTAGGACAGAGACAGTGCAGCAGGAGAATCCACTTCCCCGGGGCTTTCTTCACAAGAGAGGGCCATGGAATAAATGTAATGGGATTTTTCCTCCCAAACGAGCTACCACCAGATTCATAGATTCATTCCTAGGTGGGCTTAGGATCCAGAAACTGCCAACCTCTTACCATTTTTATAGACTAGCTCACTTAAGGCACTTACCCAAGGAAGCCTTCAGTAAATTGTCAGAGAAAGGTCACTACCAGTATCACTGGCTAAAGGAAGTGAATAGAAGCCTGGGGTGGGGTGGGGGTGAGGGGCAGTTTATTCATAAGCATTGGTCTTAAATGTTGATGGTTCCCACTCCTGTAGTTAAGCCCCAATTCCCTCCTCTTCCTGATCTCAAATGCAGGATAAACAGTTTATTCTTTCAGGTTCCTCCCTTCGCTTGAGAGGAAGCAGGAACATAGTTAGGCTAGCTGGCATTAAACAATTTACTTCCGCAGAAACTTACATCATTTTTACAGAATCAGCCTGAGATGAATTCTGGACATCCCTGAAATTCCCTCCAGATTTAAATACATTGATTGGCTGCCTCTCACTTACCACCAGCTGGGGAGCTGGCCCTCAACCCAGGCATGTGCCCTGACTGGGAATCGAACCGGCAATTTTGGTTCACAGGCCTGTGCAGAATCCACTGAGCCACACCAGCCTGGGCTTAAGATGCAGCATTCTTTGGAGGCAAAAAGACTTAGGAGGCAACATTTTTGTATGAGTAGTAATAGGAATATTTAACCATAAAATGATTGATGTTGGTTACTGCTTTTCCTTTCTCCTGCCAAAAGCAGGAGGCTGCTCTGGGCACCATCCAGGGAGCCTGGAGCAGAGAAGAAAGGCAATGTCTACAGAGATCAAAAAAAGCCCCAAAGTGTGGGTTTATGCATGTGAAGTTGATTCTTAGATTGGATTCCTATAGGCCTTCCAAAGCCAGCTGCAACATCTGCAAGTTCAACTCTGCATGGCCCTCCATGAGATAGCTTCTTCCCATCAAAAATGCCCTTGGTAGTCATTGTAACCCTGAATTTCAATGTTGGGAGAGGACAGACACACGGTGATTGATTCCCTCCTGGCCCTAGGCTAAACTTTCTCCAATCCTTAAAAAAATGACTTGAAGGACAAGTTCTTCTGCTACTTAAGAAACACAGGCAAGTCCCCAGCAGAAAGAATATAAACCCAGAAGTCCCCAAAGATTTCTGTGTTCTTGCCACGGCAACCCCAAGAGGGATATTAAGGTGCCTCATTAATATTTCTGCCTTAATAATCCAGATCTGGGAGCCAGGGACATCATCCCGGGCACAATGTTAAAATAATGGATTTCCAGAAGTTTGAAATATTGATATAGCCCTGCCCCTTTGTCTATACAACTATTGAAAAAACAATAAACACTTTCAGGGGCTACTAAATGCATGAAACTACTGCAAAGTTTTTAGGAGAGATGCTGACTGAGAATTCTAGACATGGTAACAGAGGGTGTAAGGAATGGAGACTCTTGGTCTAGTCCTCTTATTATGTAACCTTTGAGTCTCTCTTTACCAACACCCACTCCCTCCCTTGTCTCTCACGTGTTTTTTCTTTTCCTTTGAAGGAATTGGAAAGCTCCAGGACCAAACTTAAGTCTCAGGAGAGACTTAGATACTGGTCCTG